ATTTATGCATCCATCCATTTATACATCCATGCATCCATCTATAAATCCATACATCTATACATCCATCTATCTACACATCCATCCATCCATCCATACATCCATACTTCTTTACATCTTTACATCATACATCGATCTATACATCCATCTCTACATCTATCTATCTAATCTATAAATCTGTCCGTTTGTGTGTGTGTGTGTGTGTGTGTTACAGCTCTGTTATTAAGCTCATGAGGTCAGTGGTGGTCTTGGATCAGAGCAGGGGTTTATGGGTCGTCTGACAGACTGACATGTACATCCATCCATCCATCCATCCATCCATCCATCTGTACATCCATCCATCCATCCATCCATCCATCCATCCATCCATCTGTACAGCCATCCATCCATCCATCCATCTATACATCCATCCATCCATCCATCTATACATCCATCCATCCATTCATGTATACATCCATCCCTCCATCCATCTGTACATCCACCCATCCATCCATCTGTACATCCATCTATCCATCCATTTATGCATACATCCATTTATACATTCCTGCATCCATCTATAAATCCATACATCTATACATCCATCCATCCATCTACCCATCCATCCATCTATACATCCGTCTATAAATCCATCCATCCATCCATCTACACATCCATCTATACATCCATCCATCTATCCATCCATTCATCTGTATATCCATCCATCCATCCATCCATTTATATATCCATCCATCCATTTATGCATACATCCATTTATACATTCCTGCATCCATCTATAAATCCATACATCTATCCATCCATCCATCCATCTATACATCCATCTATCTATCCATCCATCCATCCATCCATCTTTACATCCATCCATCCATCCATGTATACATCCATCCCTCCATCCATCTGTACATCCACCCATCCATCCATCTGTACATCCATCTATCCATCCATTTATGCATACATCCATTTATACATTCCTGCATCCATCTATAAATCCATACATCTATACATCCATCCATCCATCTACCCATCCATCCATCTATACATCCATCTATAAATCCATCCATCCATCCATCCATCTATACATCCATCTATACATCCATCCATCTATCCATCCATTCATCTGTATATCCATCCATCTATATATCCATCCATCCATTTATGCATACATCCATTTATACATTCCTGCATCCATCTTTAAATCCATACATCCATCCATCCATCCATCCATCCATCCATCTATACATCCATCTATCCATCCATCCATCCATCCATCTATACATCCATCCATCCATCTTTACATCCATCCATCCATCTATACATCCATCCATCCATTTATGCATCCATCCATTTATACATCCATGCATCCATCTATAAATCCATACATCTATACATCCATCTATCTACACATCCATCCATCCATCCATACATCCATACTTCTTTACATCTTTACATCATACATCGATCTATACATCCATCTCTACATCTATCTATCTAATCTATAAATCTGTCCGTTTGTGTGTGTGTGTGTGTGTGTTACAGCTCTGTTATTAAGCTCATGAGGTCAGTGGTGGTCTTGGATCAGAGCAGGGGTTTATGGGTCGTCTGACAGACTGACATGTGGGAGTCCAGCTGACAGCTGATGTCTGTTTTAATGACCCACTCTCACTGTGTGTGCGTGTGTGTGTTTGTGTGTGTGTGTCCTGGTAAACTCTATAATATGTCCCCACAAAGATGGTAATATCTGAAATCCTTGTCCTTGTGGGGACATTTTTTCATCCCGGTGAGGAAAACAGTTTATATTATCACACCGAGTGATGTTTTCTTGAAAATATATAAATGCAGAAAGTTTTGTGTGATGGGTTGGGTTAGTGTTAGGGGACAAAATCCACAGTTTGTACAGTATAAAAATGCTTGTCTTTATGCGACTATAACAAGACAGACTACCACAAATGCGGCTTATGTTTTAATTCAATAACAGAGACTAAATAATATTTACATGTTAATTTATTTTAAAGGATAGATTCTCTATCTCTGTCTAGATAGAGAAGACTAGCTAACGTCTAAATGTTTTATTCACTCGTCTGGCCTCTTTTCCTCGTGTTTTCTGAGTTGAAGGCCAGAGAGAGAGAGCGGGCAGATGAAAGGAGGGATGGAGGGATGAGAGAGAGAGAGAGAGGCTCTGTTTGAGTCTCACAGCACACGTAACACTATTAATATGAGTCTGTTTTGTGTCAGGAGCTTTAATTTCATCTGTGAAAGACACACACACACTCATCTGTCACTGTAACTTCATTAGATGCTGACGAGGGGCCGGCCGGACGCACACACACATTCTTCAAACAATATAAGATACAATACAATATTCCACCATGTTCTGTGCCGCTGTGATGTCAATATTTACTTTTTATATTTATTTTTTTACTTTAAGGCTAGTGTTAGTGTCTCACTGTTTAGTTGTCGACTAGTTTGTTAGGAGTGGTTTTCATCTAATTAGTTTGGTACCGTCTTTAATAACAAACTGCTGCATTTCCTTTAAATAAATCCTGGTGAATGCTGGTTCTGAGAGGTTTTGGACTCTGTGGACTCTCTGGAGCATTTTCATTGTGAACTAAACCAGCTAAGCTTGGCTATCTGTCATGCTAATGAGGCACATTAAACTCAAACTGCCTAGAAGACATGTTGTTTCTCTTTGAGTTCTCAGTTGCGTTTTGATTCTAGTATCAACTTTATCTAAGACCTTTCCCTTAAAGTGGACTATTATTCTATTTCAAAGACTTCTGATATTGTTCTGGAGTCTCTACAACAGCTTTACATGCATCAAAGATCACAACACACTTGAATTTCCTCATAATATCCACTGCTCTTTTCTCACAGTGTCTGAAACGCTTCGTTTGAAGATTCTATGCCTCTCTGAGAGCCGCTCTGCTCTGATTGGTCAGACGGCCCAGTGTGCTGTGATTGGTCAGAACTCTAAACGCTCATTATCATATCTCACTCTCAGCTCTTGATCAAAGTGATACGAACAGTAACGAGGTCGTGGATTTGCTTCGTCAGCAGAAAACAGCGTCTCTTCCAGTCTCGGATACACTAGTGTTTGAGGGCGGAGCTAAGAGACGCTGTTCAGCCAATCAGCTGACATTATGTAAATGAGTTACAAACCTACGCAGGTTCAGGAGGAAGAGCGACTGGAGTTACTGACGACTCGTTAGCAGCTCAGATCATCACTAAAGTTTGAGTTCAGATTGAGATCTCGGACTCCACACTGATGGTAATTTGGTGTATGAGACACTGGAGTGTGTGCTGAGACTTTGGTGAGAGTCTTCATTTGGTGTCATTGCTATCTAGGAGAAACGCTTGAGAAATGAATGAGATTTAATGTGAGATTTTCCTCTGGGTGGAAATATTGTGGTTTGACCTCACACTAATGTTCCCAAGTTTGGTGTATAAATGAGTCATTTCAGATCCTGACTGAAACACACACACACACACACACACACACACATACATATCTTTTCATATTTCTCTTTTTCATCACTTCTCCCCCAATCCATCCGTCTGCACTAAGATGGAGATGCAATTTCTGTGTGTGTGTGTGTGTGTGTGTGTTATATGGTTCTATTGGTCTGTTCTGGCCTTAGGCGGTGAGACCCCAGGTGCAAGGAGAGGTTTGGGAGGTGAAAGGTGTGTGTGCGTGCGTGTGTGTGTGTGTCTGTAAGGGAATGTGTGGGCAGTAGCTGATAAGGAGAGAGATTCAGAGTAATAAATTACAGAGAGAGTAACAGAAAGTCTGATAAATAATGGATGTGTGTGTGTGTGTGTGTGCGTGTGTGTGTGAGAGAGAGAAAGTGAAATAAATTCATTATGTCTCACCTGAACTGGCTTTTAGAGAGAAGACCCTTCTGGAGGAGTGTGTTTGTGTGTGTGTGTGTGTGTGTGTGTGTGACTGCGACTGTGACAGGAAATTATGTGGAAATTATGCCATTTTTTTCATGACAATTAAACACAAATTCTCATTGAAATTGGATATTTATTTCAATCAATTTAGTTATTTAATGTGTGCTAATTAAAAAAGTCTGTCTGTCTAATGAGTTACTCCTTTAGTTTTATATGTGTGTGTGTGTGTGTGTTTGTTTGTTTGAGCGAATTTAATTTATTCTGATTTTTAAAAATGAATAAATAATATGAATTCGAAAAACAAGCCTTAGTAAAACTTCTGTATAACAGTGATTTAAATGTTTTTAATTGCTATGAATGTAATAAATCTTGCAGGTTCTTAAAATACGCTTTATTTCTTTAAGCAATGTCTTTTTTTTTTTCCTGCTGTTCGGAGCTGAAACGTGACCTGGACGCTCTTTCATTCATTCTTCGGGATAGTTTGGGATTATTTATGAATCCTCCTTTTCAACCGGTGTTTGAATGTCATGAGCCGATGAGTGTGTGTGTGTGTGTGTGTCAGATCTGCTGCTTTTAAAGCTGTGTGTGTATCTGTAAGTCACGAAGGCCCGTACGCCGCTTTTATCCGCTGTTGACTTTACCAGAAATGAACGTCTTGACAAAGAATGCGTCTTTCATGCGCCGCCGCTTTGAAGGGAAGTTCCTCGAGGAGGGAAGTGTGTTTTGATTGAGCTCTCATTGTGAGTGGGAGAGAATTTGTTGAAGAGGTTTTTTTTTTTTTTTTCGCGGTGGGCGATTCAATAAAGCGAGGGAAAAAAGAGCCAGAAACAATGTAAAGACTCGCGCGTCGTTAATTACGGCCTTTATAAAGTGTACATTGTTGCATTGTTTCCCCGGCCGTCATTAGGATTAGACCTGCACAAACGCCTCGGCTGCATGTAAACATCACTGTTGTGTCACCGGCGACCCTCATCTCAGCGGGATTGTGGGAAATATGTCTGAATGGCTGCGGTTTTTATTTAATTAGGACACTCGTTTTTCATTTCAATGCAGATTTGAACAGGATTTATAAATCAATAGATAACTAAAATGTTGTTTTCTGTTTTTCTCTGTAGATTTGGAAGAGAGAGCGAGTTCGTCTTGGGGAAATGGAGTTCGTCCCACTAAAGTAAGTTTTTACTTATTTATGAACGCTTTTGGTTTCAGTGTTTAAACTTCGGACACGGGAAACGTGGACTGGAGTCATCCTAATGTCAAATTTCCACTCGTTTGGACTCTCAAATGATGCCAATAGAGTTTGATGTTAACTTGCTTCTCACTCATGATGCACAAATATGGGGATATGAATTATTTTTGTATTGACGTTGTTCAGTAATAAATAACATTTAATTTGAGTCAAATATTTAATTTAATCTGATGTGAAAAATCCTTAAAATTAGTAATAAAAAATTGAAATTAGAAAAACAAACCTTTTGTTTTACCCAAAACAATTATTTATGATATATTGATGATATATTTATTTTAATTAATTAGTTCTTTATTTTATGCTGTTTATATATATATATATATATATATATATATATATGCAGATATTTTTTAAAAATGAATTATTTCTTTAATTTACACTATAATATATATATATATATATATATATATATATATATATATATATATATATATATATAAATTTTTTAAATATTAGAAATTAATTGGATAAATATTAGATGAAATATTTTTAATATAGTTTTTTTATTGATAAATCTGAGTGAATTGTTACTTTAATTCATTGTGATTTTAGAAGTTATACTAAACAATAATTTAAATAAAAAAACAGCCCTTTTTGATTTACTACTAAATTCTCATTGCAATGAGATTTTGATAAATTAAATTAATTTAAATTAATGATTTAATTTATTCATTATTATATTATACTACATTATATTATATTATTTTAAATATAGTATTAGTAAATTAAAATTAATTTAAAAATTAAAATTCAATAAAGTGATCAGAATTTGGGCGTTTAAATGTGTTTAATTGTTATGAAAGTAATAGTTTTTATTGAGATTGTACACAAATAAATGAAATTTAAGCTTTTAATACTACACTCTCAGAAAAAAAAGGTACAAAAGCTGTCACTGGGGCTGTACCTTTTTAAAAAGTAAACTTTTGTCCATTTTAGATGCTAATAAGTACATTTCAGGTGCTAATATGTACATTTTAGGCCCTAATATGTACATTTTAGGTGGTAATATGTACATTTTAGGTACTAATATGTACATTTTAAGTGTTAATATGTACATTTTAGGGCCTAATATGAACATTTTAGGTGCTAATATGTACATTTTAGGTATTAATATGTACATTTTAAGTGTTAATATGTACATTTTAGGTGCTGATATGTACATTTTAGGTGCTATGTCCATTTCATGAGCTAATATGTACATTTTAGGTGCTAATATGTCCATTTTAGGTGCTAATATGTACATTTTAGGTACTAATATGTACATTTTAAGTGCTAATATGTCCATTTTAGGTGCTAATATGTCCATTTCATGAGCTAATATGTCCCTTTAGGTGCTAATATGTACATTTCAGGCACTAATATGTACATTTTAGGTGCTAATATGTACCACAAAGGTACCAATATGCAGCCTTTGGGTACAAAAGTGTACCTTTTGAAAATGTACAGTCCCAGTGACAGCTTTTGTACCTTTTTTTCTGAGAGTGTATAGTGTTTCTCATCTGCCACCTTGGATGAGCTTTCTTGCATTTTGATGTAGTTGCAGTGCATTGTGGGATTGTGTCCTCGCTGTAGCCTGTGTATCTATACGGTCGGCTTTCGACGCGAGTCTCTCAGACAGGCTTCTGCTCGGCCGGCGTGGTCTGAGAGGTCAAAGGTGACTGAGCTAGGGTCCTGAGGTGGAGAAGTGTGTGTCCTCAGCAGGACTAGTGTCAGGTGTGCAGAGGGGAATCAAGGACTTGCTTACGGAGCACTTTTACACTCTCAGATTCACACGTCCACCGAATGCAAATAAATTCAAATCCTCACCCTTATGGAAAACATCCCGTGAACTTTCCGGAGCCGGAACGTCAACACACTTTATTTCCAGTGACCCGGGATGAGTCTGATCGCAGTTAAAGGGGAATAAAAAGCATTTACACCGGGATGACAGTGAAGGGTTGGAGGTGTCACGACACACTCTTGTTTTTTAACACTAACTTACCTTGAAATCTACTTTGAAAGCCACACACTAATTCTTGAGTATGTGACCTGCGAACTCATTTAATTCATGCCAGTTATGAATATTCATCATTAAAAATGCAAGGCTGGACAGGATCGAGAGAAAGACTGAAAGGGGATTTGTGATGTCATCACATTGTGCACATTAAGATTAACTGTATTATTAACTATTAACTTTTTATAATTTAAAATACTTTACTCGCATTGTGCCATTATACACAAAATATATTGCTCTATTAGGCCCTATATATATATTTCTGTCCGATTATGTCATATTAAAGTATTTATATTATATTATGTATTAACATGAATACGTTTATTGTCATTTTATCCATTTATATGTATGCATATTATTTATTTAAATAGGGCCACTCTTCAATAAACACTTTTTATGGGTAATTTAGCTATTATATTATATTAAATGATATTATATCATATTATACATTTATCTATTTATCATGCATGTATTGTCATTTGTGTTACTATATATATATTTATTGTGATTTTAATTTATGACGTATATCACATTTTTCTCTTTAAAATACATGGACTTTCCCTCTTTTTATTGTTTGTGCCATTAATCACTATAATAATGTTAAATGTAATGTAACTTAAGTATTATTTTATATTACTTTATATATTTATTGAATTCATTTATATATTTTTATATCGTTGTGTATAGATTTGTGTCATAGTTCATGTTTTATCCACGTGTCATGTCTATAAGAGTTGTTTGACCTTTGACCTCTGACCCCTGCAGAATTACGCTGACGGCTCTCAGTACGGCCACATGCCCGGCCGGGACCTCGGGTCACATGACAACATCTCTCCACCGTACGTCAACTCCCGATTAGCAGGTAAGAGTGGACAAACTCGCCTGAAGCAGAGCATTATGGGATTGTTGTGATTGTTTGGCTTGATGAGTTGCTCTTTTGATGGCTTGTTTGAACCAGTTCACATGCTCGGCTGTGGTTTTGGTGGCGTTCGATTCCTGATTTATGTTTCTTGTTCGAGTGTGTTCTTCATTTCTGGTCATTGTTCTATAGTTTGTGGTTTTACAGAGGTATTATGCGGTAAAGTGCACCGGGCCAGGTCACATCACACTCATTTACCCATAATGCTGTGCTTTGCCGCTGGCCGTCTCTGTCTCATCCAGTGAGCAAATGGTCAGTGAGTCGGATAATCGGCTAATTAAGCTGGACTTAAACCATGTGAACTCTAATGTGAGGATGTGAGCCGATCCCTCGTTCATTATGTGGACCTTAAAGGAACTTAGTTTGCACATTGTGGGAAAACCTCAATATTAATGTCTATTTTGGTTATATTATATTATATTATATTATATTATATTATATTATATATTATTATATTATATTATATTATATTATATTATATTATATTATATTATATTATATTATACATTTATCATGCATGTATTGTCATTTATTTTACCATTTAAATATTTGTATAATGTTTATCTTACTGAACCACGGATATAAAAGCATATTAATATTTATTTTACATTTTTTTTCTTTTTAAAATGGATGAACTTTCACTCTCTTTATTGTTTCTGTCATTAAACACTTACATGTTCATAACTCTTTCAGACATAATTTAATATAAAATCAAATACCCAATGCAATTGGCTCGATCTACAAAGTATCCTTGTCTGTGGTGATGTATTTCCTGTTGAAACAGGAAGTTGGGGTGGAACAAATCAACAAGCTACTTTTTTAAACAGCCAAAGGCTTTTCGTTTACATCACAGCTGTGAATCATGATTGAATATATTTGCTAATCAGTGGGAGGGGCATTCTCCTTCTAGAGAGCATTTGATTGGACGTCAAATTTGCATTCGACCCTGAGTGCATGATGATGTCATACTTAATTTTGTCACTTTGTCCCTAAACGTTTTACATGTGTTATGTGCATTAGTTGTACAAATGAGCTAAAAACTAATATAATAGACATGAAAAATGTACTCTTTATTAAAGTATAACACAAATTGCATAATGAAAGACTTAATTTTAGAAATTGAATCATGTAGTTTAAAAAGGTGAATTGTAAAAATGTGTTTTTGAAATATGTGGATATTACTCATTTTAGTTTCAGACATGAGTAGTTTGTTGGTTGGCCGATTGTTTGTTGGTTTGTCTTTCACGTTTCCTTTCTGTGAGCTGGTGGTGACATCACTTCCTGTGTTACTGTTAGTGTAGCTCACCTCAGTATTCGGGAAATCAAGAGAATTTGCGTTATGAGAGTCATATGGTGGCAGTTTTGGATTAATCAGTTGTAAATATAATGTCTGTGGTGAATATTTCTAGAAGATACTCGGTTGTTTTCTTCTACAACTTAAATTCCACGCAGTCAGAACTCAAGTGTGATATTTTTTATGTAAATTGCTTATTTTATTTTATTATAAATATGTTTTATTTAATATTATTATTCCTATTTAAGCTAATATATATTTGTATGGTTTTATTTATATTTATTTATATATTTATATTTAATTAATTAATTTGTTTATTCTTCCTAATAACTATCATCTATCATTTTAATATTAAAATATTTAAGTTTGTTTGATGGAGAAATGAAAAGATGCATAAATAATTACATTCTTAAATTTGTTCCTAAAAACCAATTAAAATAAATAAATGGATTAGGCTAAACCCACAAAATGATCACATGATGGAACCACGAGAGGGTTCTATATATGAAGGTTCTTACGGAACCTTCAAGATTCCACATAGAACCTCTTCCTGTAAGAGTGCAGAGGTGAAACTTCTAGAGTTAAAAACCCCTCATAGTTGTGAAATGTATAGAAATATGTGCGTCCCTCTCCGTTCTGTGAACCCTGCGTTTCTGAGTGTGTGAAGAGAGTCTGATGCGGACCAGCGTTAGTCTGAAAACACAACCATTCATGATCCAATCACCTGTGAGTCGCAGAACGAGCGGCTGAATTACTGTGTGTGTGTGTGTGTGTGTGTGTGTGCTGCTGATGGATGTAATCTAAACATTGGCTCAAGTCTGTAATAACAGCAAGGTGTTTAATAAGGACTAATCACAGCGGAATAGCGGCTCACTTTTAGGGTGTTTGTTGGCATTGGAGGGCCGGACAGTGTGTGTGTGTTTGTGTGTGTGAGAGAGAGATCGTGTGTGTGTGTGTGTCAGAGATAGAAAGTGTGTCTGTGTGTGTGAGATGGAGAGTGTGTTTGTCAGAGAGAGAGAGAGAGAGAGAGAGAGAGAGTGTCTGTGTGTGTGTGTGTGTGTGTGTGAGCAGGTGCAGTCCACACTAGCACACTGTTCTCCTCCTGTCATGTACCTGCTAAATGAACACACACACACCAGTTCAGACTGGTAAGCAGGTTTGGTCTCTGCGAGTCCCAGTTAAGAAGCGCCGGGTCTTGTTGTCTCCTGCAAGCAGTTTTCAGACACAAATACTTTATTGCTGTTTATTCAGCAAGCTTTTTTCCTGTCGGCCTGCAGTATTTTATGCATATAGAGAAGTTTGTTTGAAAAGTGCTGACCTCTGTGATTGCTCATTATTCATTAGAGGACTTTTTTTGAAATGATGTGGAATAATAATAATAAAAAATGATGATAGTGACTTTGCTTTCTGAGCAACAATAAGCCTGGACTTCATGTCTATATGTATAATTTGTAGGCTTTTTTTAAAATTGTGTGTGTGTGTGTATATATATATATCTATATATATATATATATGTCATTTTAATTTATTTAATTAGTAATTTTAGTCAATTGTTTTATTTGTTAATATCATTATAAATTGTTATTCATTTATTTTATAAATAAAGTAATTTAATAAAAAAAAATATTACATTTAGAGCTCAGGCACATGTAAAGGTTATTATTTTTTATTTTTTATTTTTATGAGGTATTATTTTTCTTTTTTTAATATAACAAACTATTAATAATATATTGTTTAAATAAATTGCTATCAGGATTTTATAATAATAATAATAATAATAATAATATGCTTATGAGCTTTAAATCATATATAAAGATTATTAAAATTATGTATCATTATTTATGTTTGTAGCTTTTTTCCATCAAAACATAAACTCAGGTAAAACTTATAATGCAACTAAAACTGTATTATAACTTAATTTTTTTTAAAGAAATATACCTATATTATATTATATTATGTATTTTTTGTCAATATTAATTATTTCTAATGTAATATTAGAACTTAATTTAAAGAAAAAGAAATGACTTGATATAATAATAAAATGATATAATATAATAAAATACCTTTATTATATTATATCATGTTATATTATAAAAATTGGTTTGTTAATATTATATATTATTTGTAATGTATTTTATAAATAAATATACATTACACTCACACACATACACACATACACACACACACACACACACACAGACGTCATTGATGGGACAGTATGAGGGTTGAAGGGTCCTGAAGTCCTGCGACTCTTCTGTCTCTTCTCATCTCTCTCTCCTGCTCTTCCTCTCCTCCTCCGATCTCATTAACACATTCCTTCATCCCAGAGAGAGAGAGAACGAGAGAGGAGAGAGAGAGAGGGGACGGTGGTGTTTGAGGTTGATGTATCTGTGTGCCGATGAGGATCCGTCTCTCCTGTGGAGTGAGTGAATCTTCTGGGATGTTTAGGTGTAAATTGACCATACGCTCAAATCTAAAGAGATCTTTCTCAACAGATGCATTTTTACTTTTTTTATATTATTGTTTTTCTTTAAAAAAAAAAAAAAAACCTGGATGCTTCATTTTGACCAAGTAGCCAAATTGATTTGAAATGTTTAAATTGATTTGAAATGTTACTCCACCGTTTTTTCATATTAAACTATGTTATTTCCTTAAATAAGACGAGTTGATGGACACCTCTCTCTCACACTAGCCAAGTTCAATATGGGCCAAGCAGAGAAGCGACCAAACACCTCCTCGTTTTCCTTATTTAAATACAGTTACTCGAGCAGGACGGTGACACAAAATAAAATGTTGCGCTTTTCGAAGTGTGTAAAGCGGATAACTATATTGTATGGCGGAATACCAAAGCAAGTGCTTGGGAGCACTTCGACTCGGCGCAGTAATATCATCACTCGTGAAAAGTCACTCGTGAAATATTCCGCCATACAATATAGTTATCCACTTTACACACTTAGAAAAGCGTAACTTTTTTTTGTATCACCGTCCTAGGTCGAGTTACACTGCTCGATAGATCGCTTATTGCTCAGACGCACATAGCAGGTTGTGATATTTGTCTCCGTCTCCTTCCCACAGATGTTTACGCGCACTATTCTTGTCACGGATTCATTGGCGCGCCCCTTCCATGCTTAACCATACGGTTAACGTGTGGCAAATTTACTGGTCGCACATGTGCGACTGGATGTAAAATTTAGTCGCACACTCTCAAATTTAGGTCGCAAAATGTGACCATTTGGTGGCACTCTGGAGCCCTGTTGTCCATTTAAGATTCTTAGGCTTGTTCTTATTCTTGATTGTGCTTTTGTCTGCACTAGAACAGGTTTTCCCGCTTGAATGTTGATTATTTTCCTCATATTCTCCATTTTTGCGGCTCCTCTCTTCCCAGTCTGTCAGTATCTCTCTGTTTACTTCCTGTCTCTATGAAGCCCCTCCTTCTGAAAAGCACACTGTGCTCTGATTGGTCGGCTGGATCAGTGTGTTGTGATTGGTCGAGCACTTCGAGTTTGTTTGGGAAATGTCCCGCCCCTTACAAGTACCACCAGTTTAACACACTAATAACTCAACCAGGCCCCGCCCTTTTATTCTGCTATAATGGGGAATATTGTGACGTGTTGTTCCCGGAAGAAACTCAAGACTACAATGGAGGCGT